TGTATGTTCATTGTCTACAATCACAGTGAGACACAGCAAATGCATGTTTTGCCGCACACATGCAGATGTGTGTGCTTGTCTTCTCATTCTAATCCACTTTCGATGGTTTTATGTGTTTCCAGATACAGGCCACGGACTTACTGCCTGGCTGATAGTGATGAAGAGTCTTCCAGCGCAGGCTCATCCGATGAGGAAGATTCCTCAGATCTCACAAATGACTCTGCTGGAGCAGAGGGGTAAGGATGCGATTATATACGCTCACTTAATCCAATTCCATAATAATCACAAGATTTTATAACTAGTACGTAATACTCTTGTAAGGAGAACGTGGAGAGATTTCTTGTTATGAACTTGAGGGAGGTAACAGTGAAAAATTGTGACTAAGAATTACTTTAACTGGGACAAAATACTATCCTCCAACAATGTTGCTTGGCATGTCTAGTAATTTAAAAGATCAGTTGGTGATGAGAAATGTATCATTGACGCCAAGCCATACTAAATGATCTATTCATTTGACCGTAACCTTTTATTGAATGCAGTTTGGTTGGAGGCCACAAACCCAGCAAGATCATGCGCTTTGTGGACAAGATCACCAAGTCCAAATACTTCCAGAAGGCCACGGAAACAGAGTTCATTAAAAAGAAGATGGAGGAAGTGTCCAACACACCTCTCCTGCTTACAGTGGAACTGCAGGAACTCAAAGGAATGCTTGCTGTCAACATACCGCCTCCACCCACTGACAGGATATGGTACGTGGAGGAAGGGAGGTTTTTCTACAAAGTTACTTGTGGAATCAATTTCCATGTTTGTCAAATAATCACATCTTCTGCAAAGATGGTACATCCCTGCAGAAGGAAGCCATTTCCCTCCTTTATGTCAACCATTGCATACCTATATTTGTAAATAATAGCAATCCATGTAGCACTTTGTTTGAAACATCAACGCCCTCTGCTGGTGCGAGCAAACAATTGCATCAATCGACTTTTTCAAAGGAGTCATTTTGACTAGTCATGACCGGCCACGGTGAAACAAATGTCATGAATAATGACCCATCTCCATCCAGTATCCCAGTAAGTAAATTGGGGCTGTCAACATAAACTCATTAATCTATGCGTTTCTAATCTAAACCGGAAGTTTAGCGCGGAAACAAAACGGTCGCTAGCTGCAGTCAGTTACATAAAGTTAAAGCCGTTAAATTATGGAGAGTTGAGAGCGAAGTGCACGAGGACCGCAGGAAGAGTCGCTAGTTCAGCATGTTCCACCCGGTGGAATTCTGTCTCAAAGATGATCAAATGTGTAGAGTTTTGAGTTTAAAATAACATTAAGAATTAAACCACAGTCTAAAATACATGCTTTCTAAAGTAATTACTCATTACTTCTAAGATTAGTCTTTAGAAGAAAAACAACATTGTAACAACAACAACATTAATTAATTGGCATTATACTCTAAACACAAGCTAGCGATTGAGACCATAAACCTGTGTTTATGATGTTTACCCAAGGAACAAATTGACAAAGTGAGAAGGGAGTTTCTTATATACGTCGAATGACTCACCCTCCCTGCTAGTCATAAGGAGGAGATCAGCTTCAACGCACTTTCACATTGGCTTCACTTTTTCAGCCCCTGACCAGGAAACCTGGATCGAGCTCACCTGATGGAATGCAGTGATTTGAAATGTTATCAATTACACATGTGCCTTTCCTGCAAGCCAAAATGTGTGCTGTGAAAACTTTCTATTTGTCAAATGTTATGAGCATTTCTAAGTTAATGCTTCATTTTGTTGCAGGTATGGCTTCAGGAAACCGCCTCACCTGGCACTGAAGGCGCGACCCAAACTGGGGGAAAGAGAAGTGACTCTGGCTCACGTTACTGACTGGATAGAGAAAAAACTGGACCAAGAATTCCAGGTATTGATAACAACTACATTTGAATACATGTGCATGGTAAGATAAATGTGAAAGTTTATCTTGGTTGAAAACGCCACGTGATGCACTGCAGCCATTCCATTGAAATGCTGTTACCTTGCAGTCATATTTAATTAATTATATTCAACTCTTAAATAATTTACCCAAAGATCTCCGCCATACAACTACAACAGCTTTACTGTATGAGATAACTGATCCTGGAATGATCCTTTTAAGTAACTTAAACAGTGTTTGTATCATTTGGGAAATCTTTTATCAGAAATGGGATGTGATATTTAGAGTTTAGTGTAACATCGCCACTTAATGCTGCCAAATTCTACACACTGTCCCTTTTTCTAAAGCCGTTTAAACAAAAAGTTGCAGATGACGTATTAATTATGTGCTAACTAATATTGGTTAAAATGAATTTGTATCACCAATAGTGAAAATGCTTTCCATTATGATGTTCTCTTGTTTTAGAAAATCTTTGTAATGCCAAACATGGACGACGTATGGTTGACCATCATGCATTCTGCCATGGACCCACGCACAGCTGGCACGGCTGGCACAGCGGACCCAGAGCCGGCCCCGTCCGACAAGGACAGCACATAGCCAACCATGAGGCTTGTTTACAGTATTTCCTAGTGATTGTGAAGTCTGGGACTGGAGCCATATTCAAAAGATCAGACACTAACGCAAATCCATTCCCGTAGTGGAGGCGTAATTGATTGAAGAGGAACAGGGTATACTCGACCCAGGAAACACTAAAGACAAACTGTTGCTTGCTGCCAGAAGAAGAGCTGATTTGACTTTGAAGGATTCATCAGCCGTAGGTGACTCTGTTGAATAGGGACTGATATGTGAAGAGAGGCACGTTTGGCTCAGAATTTGGGTTGGTAAGTTAATAAGGGGAATATAGAGGGATACATAAGTATACAAATGTAATATGAATATTTTGATGTGAACGCAATTACCGTGTAACTAATAGCTTGCAGATGAGACGTTTTTGCTAAGGTTTTTGGGTGAGATGGAGCTTGGGAGCTCTTTTTTTATTATAGAAATGCACAAAGAGTTCTACAATATGACCATATATTTAAATTAGAGGAGTTTCATTTTGAACCATCGGTGTGTGAGATGGAGTTTTCATTTCCGTTGATGATATTGACCAGTTTATTGGAAAGGCTTAAATTCTGGATGTAAGCTCTGTTTACCATATAAACATTAAAATTATAAGTGGCTTTATGGCAGCAGTTTTTCACCAGGTGTTGACAGTTAATAGTATTAATTTGTGCTGTGAACACACCCCGAACACCTCCCTTAATTTGCCAAGATGCCATTTTATTTTTATTTTTTATATGCCAATGATGCCGTTATCCATGTCTACATGGAAATAATGCTGAAGAGCAGCACGTGTACATTTAGGAGAAGTGTCAAACTTAAATTCCATACTACAAATACACAATAAGTGCAATGATAAAATCGCTAACTTGTAGAGTGTAACTGTTATATAAAAGCATTGTCTGAAGTTCGAGACCTCTAACATGCCTATTGAATGTATATGTGGCTACTTTTGGTTCCTATTGTTATTGTATGACAATAGTTTTTACCCAGTCACGTTTGGCTGTGGTTTGCAAATTATTGCACAAAATCTTTTTGTCTTATGATAAACACTATATTATCTTTTCCAGATGGGTCGTTCAATCCTATAAAGTACCAAGTGGTGTATTTATTTATACATCATTTCTCCTTAATTGTGTTTATGTGAATGACTATAATGTTGTTCGAAGTTCATTTAAATGACCAATTTTGATATGTAACCGTGCTTTAAAAAGCCTCTACTAGCTATACTGTATGTACAATTTTATGAAGTTATGGTACGTACTGTATAGTAGAGCATCTATTGCCAAGAATGTAGCCTTATCTGCAGGTTCCCTTTCTGAAAAAACCCTTTTTAACAGTGTCATATTTGTAACTAAACCAAAGTCCTTGGATTAGGCCTCAAGTGCCAGATTTATGTCTGCTCAAAGGTACAAATTCTGTATTGATAAAATATTGAGGTAATATTTACAAATGTGCTACAATACCTGCATTGGCATTGTTTACAGAAAGTCTTACCATATGTTGCTCTCAAAGGATACAAAAGCACTGTAACACAAGATGGATTTTCTTTCTGTATGATTGTCTTTTCCTCTTTTGCTTAAGTATTTGTTTTTGAATGACTACAGGGTTATGGTGGCATATTTGGTCTATATATTTGGAATAAACAGACTTAATTTTTGAGGATATATGAAGCTAATACCAGGATTTGTATCTGAATAATTGACAACTTTTTAAGATAAGTTTTTATGGCCAAAATCAGTGATTAGCCACAGTGTATCTGCCTTATTTATAGAGCAAAAATAAAAACAAAAGTTGATAAACCTTTTTGTTTTTTTTATCTGAAATGTATTGAGATGAGAATCTTACTTTCTATACTACAGAGTCAAAGGCCTTTGCTAGTGTGTAAAAAGGAAAACAAGTTTGACAGCAGAATGATTCCCGTCAAATGACACCAGAGAGTTACAAAACCACCGTGGAAATACTGCAGAATGCAAAATCTTCTGCAGAAGGTGGAGGAGGCATGTATACACGTATACATACATACATACCTTATTTGTTTAAGGTCACGCTGTGATGCAATATGTATTTTGATCTCTTATGCAATGAAACTGTTCACTGGCTTATAAATGAATGAAACTTCAGTTAACAACACATCAAATACAGCAAACTCATGATGCGTTTTCCTCCAGATTTAGATTTACAATTTATAATAATCCTTCGTACCATTTTCTAAATAACACATGGTTACATCTAGTGTAGCTAGACACTATGTCAAATAGTGTGCTATTTGCATGTACTTAATGGAGTAAAATATATAAAACTCTTGCCTTCCAATTTTGTTCTAAATGCTTTTGGAGTAAAGCGAATCCCCAAATTACTAAAAAAAATATATATTGACATCAAAGACACCCAGCGAACCAAGCTGCTTCTACTCCTCCTGCGGATGTTTACCGTTGCCAAGCAACGGTTGTACAACGGTTGTTCAGCGCGCCGGTTCGTCCAGGACGTATACGGTGGTAGGCATTGTCAAAATTATAATACAGATTTAATTCAGAGACACGCTGTATTTCCTTCATTTTTTTGAAGGAGCAAAGCTTTACTGTCGACTACCTATTGTAAGTTATCGTTAATGTTTTCCTCCATGTCTAATTAACCGACGTCAGTGACCTTGGTTCAAGGTTTAGCTAACGTCACAAGTTACCGTTAAGCTTTATCTTTAGTTAGTTCATCTAATCCGTGTTGTTTGCTTTGATGCCTTTGTTTGGTATTTTCCGTACAACAAAAGCGGAAAACAAACACCAGCACTCGTCAATCGACCTTAAGTCGCGTTACGTTTTCAGAGAAGAATAAACTGCTAAATTAACCCGATTAGTACAAACGTCTAACGTTAGCGATACACGTTTAAACCGTGTGCTAACGAAGCCGTGTTCAGACCTCCACTTCATCTTCGCAGGTCCAATGCAGAGCGCTGGAGCGGAGGATGGAGGGGACCGAGCGGCGGAGGGCCGCGAGGAGGTATGCTCTTCATTATTTAACAGACTTCACGTGTAAACATTGCTGTGTTGGTTTGGTCTTTTGTCGGTGTGACGATGTTGCACTGGTGTTCTTTGATTCTGTGTCCCAGTGTGGCTCACTGAATGAGCCAGGAACGGATCCGGATGAGTCCCCCCAGCTTCACCCTGACCGCGGTGCTGCAGATGACTCCTCACCTGCGTCCACCAGTACAAGGGAACTAGGTGTGACACTGCAGAGTACAGAATACAATATAGTGTGTCGTCCTGAGGGTGATTCATCTGTCAAGTTAAGCAAATGAATATGAAACATTTTCGTACAGTAAGTAACACCGCTGGATTCGGCTAGATTTAGTGTAAGATACAGCGCCTTCATTAACTTCATTATTCCTAAAGATATTTGGAGATAAAATAAGTGCATGGGTGAGTACTACAAAAATAGTATTTAGAAGAATATGTTTTCATATTTTATTTTTCAAATGGTTAAAGCAGTGATCTTAACGATTTTCAGTAAAATAAGTGTCTGTTAAGTCTATTCGCAGGATAAGGTAACCCGATAGGATTGATTTAATGGCCTAGTGATGGATGTACATTTGCAGTACAGCTTTACAAACTGGATGTCTGTTCCCATGAAAAATCACAGGACATCGAAAATCATGAATTGAGAATTCTGGGGTCGGTAGTCCTGACTTCCAATCTAAATGTGTCCCTGTTCATCTGATTGAGAAAACGTGGATTGCCAAAGCAAACAGTACCCTCGTTGAATCAACAACTACCGAACCCGATTGCAAAATATTCCTGAAAATGCTATTTAAAACACTTCAAGGATCCACAGAAATCATCTTAAAAGAGTATGCTAATAAAAAGAAGCTCAAATCTACTAAATGGGACATAATGGTTGCTGCAAACTTTTTAGAATTTACATTTCATTGCACTTTTCGGTGTCAGAGGTATTTTGTTTTGTACCAGGCTACAAACATGTGTATTACATCTGCTGGTAGGTTGTGCATGTTACCATGGAGACTGACTTGCTTTTGGAGCCATCCTCCAGTGGCCAATAGAAGAACTGCAGTTTTTGGTGCCTCCGCTAGGTTTTATTTGTCAGCACCAGCTGTTGCCACCACCATCTCTCTAGTGAAAGGCAGAAGCAAATTATTTTACAGGCCAAGGACAACGAATCAAAAGATATTTAAGATTGAACTTTAAACAATGCATTGTTTGTGTTTTAGTGCAGGAAAACGCAGCTCAAGCTCCGTTAACGCTTCACCTCTCAAACCTGAACATGTCAGACGACATGGTGGATCAGCGGACGCTGCCAGAGGGGGAAGAGGAGGAAGAGCAGGACGACAACGAGTTAATTGTTCTCGACCCTGAACATGTCTGTTGGTTCTCCTTCAATATTTATTCAAAGACTATTTATTGAGTATATAATATGCGGAGCCCACTGTCGTGTCATTGATGCCATCTTGGATCTTCTTGGCAGCCCCTGGTCAGAATGCAACAAGCTGCTCTGAGCAGCCTGCTCAGCAAGCAGCTGGAAAGGATCAACCTGAGACTCGAGGAGAAGGTTGGCTATACTTTTCTGTCAATACTTCCTAACCCCCATTACCGCCGGCCCAGGGGTCAGACCACACCCATCTTCAAGCTCAGCCTTCATTTGGATCCCAATTACATCCGTGTAAAAGTTAGGACTGCATCTTGCACCGCTGTGATGCTATCTTATTTAATATTCACCATAACAATGATGGAGATAAAATCATCAAATATCAATGACTGTAGTAAAATATCTTTAACCGGGAGTGTGTGCATGACTAAAGGAATCCGAGTGAAATAGAAACCATCTGAAGGTCTGATCGTATGATAGAATTGATGATTCCTGCCCGCGCTCTCTCTCCCACTGCTCCAGCTGGCCATAGAGAAGGAAGATGCCAACCACTTACAGGAGATAGATGTTGAGATGTTCAGGGTTCAGAAGCAACTGGCCAGACTCCAGACCAGACTGCATGACCATCATCACACCAAGGCACAGGCTAAAGCCAAACATCAACAGGCACAAGATCAGCTGAAGACAATGAAGGGCCGGTGTGCCAGGACAACCAGCCAAAACGCCAAAGCCAAAGCCAATGGTGAGAAAGCAATACACATTTGTCTGTGCAGCATTGTTCAGGCAAAGAAGTATAGACACTCAATCTTTGAAAAGTGATTCAGCTGCAGAAATTGATTCGTCTCTGTAGAAGCCTTTTGGCCTAAAACAAATGGGTCTGGATTTTTATCCATAATAAGACTTTCACTCACTTCAAATTGCAGTATTGACCTTTCTTAAATGGTTAAACCATAAACCTTATAGTATTTTATTAGTATAACATTTCTTTTGCGACAGATTCAGCAGTTAAACCTAATGTTATTAGTATTTAGGCTTCATCCTTGTTTAACAAAATTCTTAAAGATACATCCGCTATTTGAAAGTGTTAGAGGTAGTAGTTTGGTCCATTTGATGTACGTCGTTATTTCACTAAGAGCAAGACAGCCTCACTCTCGGCCCATGTTTCCAATGTGTGTGGTTGACTCCTGTGTATCTTCACCGTAGTGTCCCAGTTACAGGCGGAGATGGAGGACCAGATGCTGCATCTCACCTTCACACAAAGAGTCAGCGAAGATCTGCGCTCAAATGTCAAAGTCTTGAAGAATGCCAGAAGCAAAGCAAGAGCTGAGAAGAACCAGGCCGAAGATCAGAAATTTAAGCAGGTAACAAACGTATACAGAACAAAAAACACTGCATGCAATTTGCAAAGGCCTCACCTTGCAGGTCAGCTCCAGCTGATCTTTCAAAATCTTGAATCCGCCATTAACATTGATGCATTCACTGTTGGTGATTTAAAACACTCCTGTGTCACCAGGATTTGTATGTGGAGCGTCTGACGAAGGACTTGGAGGGGCTGACCCAGCAGATAGGCATGTACGAGGTGCAGACCGTTGCCCAAGCTGAGGAGACAAAGGCAGCCCGAGAGGCTCACTCTGAGGTAACTCATATCATGGCATAAGGTCAAACTAAATCACAGCACTGTAATGCAACACACCCATGCCGCTGTTAATATTGACGTTGGTTTCCAATAAATATTTGGTTTGTCAAAAAGCCATCCGCTGTTTTACATCTTGTAGGGCCAATCTTTGAGATATTGTCAACTGTTTTGGCCCAATCTACGTCATGAAATACAGGAATGCTAATGCCTTCTTATTTACCCTCCCTACTCGCCTTTAACACACAGTGTCTATTGTTTTCCTTCGTACACCAATAATTGCTACTCTGCATACCCCGTGCAGGAGAACTCTTATGAGGTTCACAGGTGGCCTCGTCCGGATTACAAACAACAAGAACTCCCGCCCAGAGGAAATCAGAGAACAACACACCGCTCAGCGTCAGTAAAACAAAGACACGGATTGTTGATTTTAGATAACAGGTAGTGGGAGCAAGTTAGCAGCTTTGACTTCCTGGCAATCAACGCCTCAAACAAACCCGGTCGTCATACATTTACATGCTGGTGAAAACAAACTCATAAACAGGCTTATTTGTTGAAGAAAAGGAAGGCAATATTGTGCCTAGAGTACACAAACCTGGACCCCATTGCGGGAGAGCAGACATTTGCTTCATTAGAACTCCTTCCGAATTGAAGGTTCCCTCTTACACTTGTTAACTCGCCATACAACTCACTTCATTCAAACCGACAAAGAGAAATGAAGTCATCGTGTCACGGTTAGTCTCGTTAAAATGAATCCTTTATTCGCAGAGTGTAATGTGAAAATATGACGGCTCTACACGCTTTACCCCTCCACCCGCCTCGTATCTCTCTGTTAATGCTAACCACTAGCTTTGTTTGCTGTTTGATGCTGGGAACATGTGCACTCAAAGTTTGTGTTTGCGTGCAGGCTGAGATGGAAATGGAGTCCCTGGTTATGGCCCGTAAACAGCTGTTGCAGCAGTGGAGCAGCAGCCTGGTGGGCATGAGGAGACAAGATGAGGCCTTCAGCGCGATGCAAGAGGCCGTGCGGTGAGAATGAGGGCCAAGAAAGCCTGAGTGTGAATAGGTCACTGATATAATTCAAATGTCCTATAAAAAATATATGCAACTCTTACTTGTCTTTGTAAGTTTGCTATTTTAAAGTGTTCTATTACCTAAGAGAAGAGCGCAAGATTAGAAAACATTGATGGATTCTAGAAATCAATGGAATACGAACCAAGAAAGAACAAATCGTGGATCCGAATAAAAATGAGAGGTTATGTATTCTCACATCACTTCCTGCATGAGGCTGAATATCTGCAGGACTCCCAGAATTAACCTGAGTTGTTTCCTTGTTTCCGTCAGCACCGTGGAGCCCCAGGTGATTTTGCTGGACAGAGAGATTGAAGGTTACAAGAGATCCATCGCCGAAGAGCAGGAGCAGAATGCGACACTAACTGTGCAGCTAAACCGGTCCCAGATGGACGGGGCCACGTCCAAAAAGCTGATCAGTCAGATGCAGGCCAAGCAAGAGGCTCTCCAGGCCCACTACAGTACCTGCGTCCGCACTCTGAGGGAGACAGAGAGCAACCTCGCCAGGCTCTCCGAGGTACACACCTGCAAACAAGTCGCTTGGTGATGACGTAATCCTTGCAATGAAACATCTTTGATGTGACGTGTCGAGTCTTGGCCAATCAGTTTTGAGATGTCTACAGCTTTAATTTGTCAACCTTTCACTCCAAATTGAAGTTACCGCCAAAACTGGATTATTACTATTATTAATTAGTGATCTGATTAATCAGATCAATTTCTCAAAGTCTTCTATTTTGACAGCTATGCACCGGATTTGTCCAGAAAGAGGTGTCTCTTCACAGCGTCTTCCTACCTTCTGTTTCCCTCTAAAAACATGGGCATTTATTTCCCTGCGTCAAGGACCTCAGCGGCCACCATGTTGAAGTAAATGATCAGAGGAAGCAGTTGGAGAAAGAGAGTGATTTGCGTCTGGAGTTGGAGGACAGCATCATTACCTACATCCAGCAGAAGCCCACCCACAACATGGCAGCCAAGTACTCCAAGCAGCTCACCGCCAGTATAGCCACCCTCAGGAGACAGAAGGTGAAGATGAATTTGCACATTTGAACTGAAAATGGCACATTATATCAAAAAGGTTGCAGACCCGTGGGAGGCCTATTTAGAAGGTTGACGATCATTCAGTCCAAGGGTGCAGGTTCTTAACACACTGACTGTGAAGATCTTTCCAACAACGGAAAAAGAGAGACTCTATTAAAGTCTCTATTAAACAGGGCCTGTCTTTGTTAAAGGACGCGCCCAGCGTTTAATTGATGCATTTCTATACAGTTAGTACAGCGTGAAGAAGAGGCTAAAAAATCCCCCAAAGTATAACGTGCTGAAGATACAGTTTCATTAAATATGCTAAGAATAAAACGTATAACATATTTGATGTGCTTTTCCTACCTTCTAGCTCTCTCAGTTGCGGCAGTTGGAGAATAAGGTTGCGGCGGTGGGACTCGAGAGCAGCGAGGTCAGCCAACATCTGGATAGCCTGACCCTCATCCAGAGCGCCCTCGACGAGGAGGTCGCAAAGCACAACAAGTTACTGACATCCTACCAGACTAAGTCGTCTTCCTCTGGTAAACTCATCGATCAGAAGCACGCTGTCATCTTCGAGTGTGAGGAAAAGATTAAAGAAATTGCAGCCAGAACCGGGGTGAGAGGGAACCACTAATACCTGACTTGCCTTTTGTTTACGCGAAATATAAGACAATCACAAATGAAAATAACTTGGTGCCTTTGTGATCTGTGTGTCCCCTCTCCCAGAGTGAAGACATGAGTCCCTTGGAAATCAAGATTGAAGATTTAAGGGCTCAGATCCAGGAGCTGGCAACGAATATCAAGGGTGACCAGCAGCTCTGGATGAAACGGCAGAGGACTCTAGTGGGACTGAGCCAGGAGATAGACGCCAACAGCAAGAACATGCTCAAACTGCAGATCGAGTTCACTTCCAAGCAGGAGTTGAAAATGTGCTTGGAAAGTATGTAATATAGTTAGAAATAAGCACATAAATAGTGACACTAAGTAGAATTCACTTGTTAGAAATAATGTAAATATGTGTACATTTTCCTCTGCATAACAACGTTAGTCCTTTTTATATAAAAACAATCCACAGTGTTTGTTTCAACCTTCATTGTGCACCAGTAGTCGAGCCAATACTAAACAAAGTCCAACGCCCACCAGGTAAGATTAAAGTAGAGCACCGTGAGGAGATGGAGCTGGATAAGAATGTGAAGATACTGAAACGAGACCTGCTGAAGCTCAACGCCCTGCTGAGCAAGAACGGAGAGCTCAGCCAGGAGCTGGAGCAGAAGCACGCGTCGATGGAGTCTGACTTCCTCCACAGACTAAAGGCACGGCACTGATTGTTGATTTTGCCTTTTTTTTTTAAATGTTGTATTAGTAAATTATAATCAAGCAGGATACCATGTGTTTAGGAGGCAGAGCGAGAGGCCATCAACCTGCATGTGAAACACGAGAACACCCAGGAGGATAAAGAGAGACTCCTCAAAAGTCTTGTGGAGGCTGAGTCAGTCACGTATTCATTTTGTGTTTGTTGAAGATGAGCTTACATTTTTTACATTGGCAGGAAGATAAATATCTGCTGCATCAATCGATAAAAAAACCCACTAACCTCCAGGGTATTTCAGTATATTCCTAAATATCAAGACAATTGTTTTCTAATAATAAGTCTGTCTGTGTGTGTGTGTGTGTGTGTGTGTGTGTGTGTGTGTGTGTCTGTGTGTGTAGAGAGGGCGGGTGGGGGCAGGCGGCAGATCGTGCTGTGGGAGAAGAAGACCCAGGATATGAAGGAGATTCGTTCAGTCGTGGACTCTAAGGTGGTCCAGGGAGACATTCAGATGATGAAGGCTGAGATACACCGTATGGAGGTGAACACATTGCACACAATATGATTATTCAAAGAGAACAGAAGGTAAACGAAAACATTGAGCTGTCATCTGCTGATTGCTATTGTGTGTACGTTAGTGCAGTACAATTGGACGGCTAACCTTTTCACTGGTACTATAAATGCTGCCATTTATGCTTTCACAGCTGGTTAATACCCAGGGACTCAATCAGTTATCTGTGTGTGTGTGTGTGTGTGTGTGTGTGTGTCCGCGCAGGTGCGACTCAACCAGCTGATGAAGCAGCAGAATCGACTGGTGAGAGAGAGTGTAGCAACCGTAGAGCGCAGGGAGACCATCGTCCGGCGCAAAGAGTCCCTCGAGCACAGCTCCCACAGACAAACTACCAAGGACAAGTCAACCCTCATCACACAGCGCCAGCAGCGCAAGATCCAGGCCACACACAAGGTTGGGAGTGAATCTTTTTCCAAATCTGCATGCGTGTAGGCCTCAAGCCTGTTGCCCTGTTCTCTTAAATTCAATTGAACTTATTTTGTATAGCCCGAAACCACAAATCTGAGGTCTTGATAATAGTTTGCATTTCTTTAGCAAGTTGTAAAGTGTGAGGAGGAGTTCAGGAAGCTGCAGAAGGACCAGGAGAGTCTGAGCAACATGCTCACACAGCAGAAGCAGCTGCTGTCAGAGCTCTGTGGTACCAGTTACAGCCTGGATTCTGACATTGGAAATCTCCAGGACACTAAAGACAGGGTAAGCAGCACATACTGGACGGAATACTGCCTGACAACACATGAAGACATTCTCCAGTGAATGCACTATGGGAAACCACAAACAAAGCATGCAATAAGTGCACGTGGGGTTTCCCACATTCTGTTCTCAGAGTTGTAAATCTTTCCATATGAGAAAAAAAGTACAAAAAACAAATCCACAAAACCAATTGTATCCTTCCTTCCCTCCAGAACTTTGCCCACCTAGTGGCTCTACAGAGCCGCAACAAGAAGCTTCAGGGCGTGTGCGCGGGCAGCTACAGAGCCGCGTCTACCAGGGAATCGGTTGGCGGCGCTCTGCAGAGCCAGATGGAGCGCGTGCACGCTGTCAGCACCATCTTGTACAAAGTGTGCGAGGAGTTCCCCCAGCACCACGAGGCGCTGCACAGGTTGTCGTTAACGCTGGAGGCGCGCGCACACCTCATGCCAGGAGACCCCCCGAAGGGAGGAGGTGGGGGGGGAAAGAGTATGTAAAGGTATTTAAGATAAGAGAGAAAGGTTTGATAAGTTGACGACTACAGCTTGTTTTGTTTTAATGGTTGCATTTGTTTGTTCTTTGAATGTCATACAATAATAATCAACTGTAAAACAATGATATAAAATAAAGACTTAAGTAACAGTAAAATAAAAGTTGCTTTGTTTGATTTGAGGTTCATCTCCAGGGTTGGGTCATGGGGGCAAAAGCGCCAGCAGGGGAACCCAAACTTCCCTTTCCCGGGCTTCATCTATGGTTACCAGCTCTGACTGGGGGATCCCAAGGCCATCACTTTCCTGCTGGGAACCATAGGCTCATATTTTAAGGTGTTGATCCTCCCGACCGCTCAAGTGAGAGTTGGAGGTCACAGACCGAAGACGCCATCAGGGCCACATTAACTGCCAAAAGCAGCAATGATATCCGCAGCCGCCAAACTGTAAACCCTCCTCACCAGTAGAGAGCTGCTTCGTTGTTCCACGCCCAGGAAGAAGTCTTCATTGTTCCTTTGCATTCTGCAGTCTGACTATCAGGTTTTCTGGATTGCTTTGTTGTTAAAATAGACTTGCTTTGCCAACCAGAGACAACAAGTCGCCTCAGCTGGCTCCCCGTCTTAGTCATGGCTTCTTTTGTTATTTTACTTTTTCTTTTGAAAAATGTTTTATTTTGAAAATTGACTGGATTTTCACGTGCGCTCTTGAAATATTTCCAAAGCGTCACCAAGCGATTTGGGTTGTTTCTTCACATTTACAACTGTCCACTCCTCGCTGCGCACGGCAGTCCCGCCCACCAGTGGACAGAGAGCGTCATTTCATCGTGTTTACTGGCAATATTACCGCCAAATATTGTCTTACATGAAAACGATCCGTAAGGCAAAAAAACGTTGGGATGCCACTGATTCCAGGCATGCAACTTGAGCAGGAAGGGCAATATGATTCATTTTGCAGAAATAACTAAGTAATCTGTCATGTTTTATTTCGTCATACCGTGGGGTTGTTTATTGACACAGCACCTGCCCATTTTTCCAACGTTTTTTTTCTCTGCTATTGAAATAAACCAACCACACCCGTCCTAGTTGACAATGGCAGCTAGGTCTGTTCCCAATAGACCAGCAGTGTGTGACCAGCATGTCACACCTTTCTGTTTGAGCTCACTCTTCCAGTGAGCTGCAGGCCGTCCTTAAAATAAGTTCTATGAGACTACAACGAGTAAAGTCAGCGCTTACAAATGTGACCGCGAAAGTTCCTGGTAGGCCTCATCTGTGCAATGCTGTGGATCCAGTTCCTCGATCGCATGCTCTCTGTGAGCATGTCTGGAAGGAATTTCAACAGTACTTGCACCATAGCAACCTGTTGGTAGAGGCATCGTGGGCGAGCAAGCTTAAACTACAATCTACTGTCTTCTAAAACTGGCCTGAAAATCTTTTTATTCCAGAAGGAAATTTTTACTCCATCTTAATTTTTTTTCTTCCCTTATGTTTTTACTAGCTTCTACTTTATTTTTTTGACATGTTTAAAAAAAATCTCAGTTACCCCAGTACAATATGAGATGACTCTTGAATGCAGAACTTATGTATTTATGTAACATATGTATTTATCACTTTAAAGGAGTTTTTGCATGTCATGTCGCACATTTTGCGACTAGTTTAAAACTTCACTCTCAGTGTATTTTATGCTTTTTTCATGTAGTTTAATTCCATTCTCATTCCCAACACGTCACACGCAGATCCACAGTCATGGCTTTTAACGAATTGTGAGTTTAAACCGTGTTTAGTCAACATCACGGTTTGGCTACCAACATTTGTTGCAGAAAGGATTTTACCAAAAAGGAAGCGAAGCAGTCAATTGTAAAGCGATCAAAGGTCACGAATAGCTGTCTTCTCAGGGAAAGTCATGCGTTGGACTGACCCCTCCTCCTGTCCACTTCCCTCCTGGCCTTTGATATTATGTCACGAGTTCTTGCTTTAAGTGTCCTTATGCATGAAATTACAAGTGAGTACAAAATGAGTGAGTTTTAATCAGTTTGTGGGTCTGATGAAAGGAAGTTCTATGCCGTTTATATGCGTCAATGAAAGCAGTTTATATCAATCTAGTTCAGTTTAGTGCACGTGGATGTTTTTGAGAGTTGCAGTCGAGGGAACCTTTTATCTTCATGGCCAAAAGGAAGGCAAGTAGACCCACAGTTGCATCTGATTTGACCTTTTGGGATCTGTACTCCTCTACCAACGCCTTTGCATCCAAGTGCGTTTATAAAATTCTCCCCCCACATGCTGCCTCTGTTAGTTGATTTGCCGCGTGTGGGTGTGTGTCACCGTCACGGTGGAGATGACTATCTCGTGCCTTTCCGTCTCGTCTCCCTTTCTACTAAAGTATCATGGGGAAAAGGATTATGTTCTTTTAATCTTCTTTGTTGTCGGTAACAATTTGGGTGGGACCTGCACTTGTACTTGAGAGCTGAGCTGTTTGTTGACTTTATGAATTGATAATCTGTTCACGTTTCAGTTCAGCTCAAGTATTGTTCATTCAGCATTATATGAGTTACACATTTCCCTAAAGCAGTTTACCAGCACTTGCACCTTAATCACACATCGTCGGCTGGTAATACCCTACAGGAACATCTCTGTGACAACGAAAGTATTTTTGTGTCCATAGATTCTTCAAGCTCCAAACCACTTTTTAACTGTATACTCTAGCTAATAGCATTAGAAAACCTCCTACCTTGCACGGACAACCCATGCCAGTCACGCCCCGACCTTATTTCCTTCTATAACGGAGGACTTTGCACTTCACAGTCCACTGTTCTTTTCATCGGCAAGGTATGTGTGTTTACTTTACTGTGATTACAAATGATTACTCTCATGCCATCTAATGGATGTGAGTTGGCGAGAGGCTTTGCTCTTTGACGTTGCAGGCCGGGGCTCAGCTGTCTTCAGCAGACAAATCTGTCTCTGTTTATAGAGTAAATGAGGCGGAGGTTTATTAGCTGTTAAAAGCAAACAAACCTGAGAAAAGCCCCAGTAGAGTGAATGGAATAGACAAATGTGCGGCTCACTACTGTTTGTTTGTGTCTGAAACGTGAACGTGCGTTAGAATATTTTTTTATTTTCAACGCTCAGTCAGTCCCTTGACGCATTGCATCACAGAGGTCTCGTCTTACAGGTTTTCCCACACGCACACACAAATTATTTGACATAACAAATGGGCGTGGAGAGTCTGTCCCTATTTATGATGCTCAAGCGCACTTCCAGTCACACTGCCGCTCCGTGTGCTTCCAGGGGATGAGTCAGTGGCGAGTGTCTGTCGCTCGCTGTGCTTCAGCCGCGTGACCGTCTCCCCTTCAGACGAGGGAGGAAGGAACAACGCACTCAGGATGGCAGGCGTGGAGTGTGTTCCCGAGAGTCACGACCTCGGACAGATGGGCGACGAGGAATTGTGGGAGCTGATAAACGACAACCGCCACCGGATCTCCTTGGGGGTGCGGCCATGCATCCTGATCCCCTACCTGAGGCAGGCCAGGGTGCTCACCGAGATGGACGAGGACGAGATCCTCTCCTGCCACAACCTCACCAACCGCAGCATGAGAACCAGTGAGATCTCTGACATGACTTCTTTCTTCTAGAATGTTGCTCGGCGTTGTGGAGGATTTGGTCTGCCTCCTCTTTTACTGCAACGGATTTATTTAGGCTGATGTTTGAGTGTATCAGCAAGAGTCAGAGGAAGTTCCAGCGGTACAAAAACTGATATTCTTTAGTAAAAAAGATATTATGCTACCTAAAATAGTTTTAACGTGTACTTCCATATGTGTATATATATATATGTATATGTATATATATGTAATATATATACAGTATATATTTATATAATATGTACTGTATATATATATATATATATATATATATATACACGGTATATATTATATAAATATGTTTTTATTATTATTATTTCCCACCAAATTGTGATTATAGTTACAGTTCTTAACTATTTATCAGCATTCTAAGATTTTTTCTTCATGAATTCTTTGAATGATTCTACATAGGGCTGCACGCTACACCGGTATTCAAACAGTATGCCCGAGTTACTCACGTACCGTTCATACCGGCGTTATGTCATAATTACTGACTTTGCTCTTTGACAGGCAGCAGAATTTATTTGCACACGTCATTGAGGAGCGCTTAGCGATCTGAGTTATTTCTCCTACGTGTGCGATTATGTCATGGTTATAACTTTATAAAAACAATGAGTAACCCACAAAAATCTCTATTTAACAGTGTAAATCACCAGCTTGTGACACAAAAATGTCTAACACTAAAAATTGTACAATTATTAAAATGACCCCGCAGTAACTCTGTTGCTGCATGAAAACACGGAAAAGAGCGATGCAGGAGGAACAACGAGAGACCAGAGATGCACCAACGCAACTTCTGCCCAAGAGAGCAGCCGTGTCTGTTTGGAGGGTTTATGGTTTTGGAAATTCCGACACAAGTAACGTTAGATCAGAAAACGATTCATTGCAAAGTCTGTCGAGCCTCTGGTGGCGACACTAGCAGCAACAACGCGCTAACGGGTCACATACCGAGATACCGTCAGAATCTTTCTAAATACCGTGATATCGATTTTTTGCCCCAATTCGGCGGTTCACGACAGCACGACATGAAATCCTCCTCCATTTACAGGCCACATGCTGGATCTGCTGAGGACCCAGGGGAAGAATGGGGCCGTGGCCCTGGTGGAGAGCCTGATGATCCACTACCCGGCCCTGTACACCCAGGTCACGGGGCGCAAACCCAGCACCGAGCCGTCCAGATTCAGTGGTCAGTGGCTTCAACGGCGCGTTTTTAAGCGCACAGCTGCCTGTTTGCATCTCGCTTTTCACGTTGTACTGGCGTCGCTCTCTCTGCAGGCCTGATAAAGTACTCGGAGCTGACGGAGTATCTGGTCAGAGCAGTAACGGGGATGCAGAAAGAGCTCCAGGCGGCGCGTGACGAAGCCAGCAAAAAGAGCGCCCGCTGCGCCTCTCTGCAGTCCGAGATTCAGCAGATGAAGGAGCTGTCGGAGAGGTCCAGATGTCTTCAGTCTGAAAATCAACACATGCGGAGACTCTTGGGTTCTTTGCAACATGACATCACGAGGCTGAAGGATGAAAAGTGTGACCTGTACATGCGCTACACAGGAGCCGTTGAGGAGAAATCCTCTGTGAACCTGCGGCTCCATGACCTCAACCTGCAGGTCAGTGGAATGAAAAAGAAAAAGAAATACACAGAATAAGTGAATAATTGCCTCTCAGATTTAAGACGGAATCGCATCTATGAACAAGTCAGATTTAGTCATCAAGCATGTTGTAATTATATTACCTTAGAGGATTAAGGGATTGTTGGTGAGGCAATCCACTTTATAATCTTTGGTTTTGTTCACAATTTGTTTTGACTGTACTTTTATGCTGATTCATTCATAAAAGAAGAAGTTCACATATCAACGTTGTTGTTCTTGTGCGGTGGCAGCTGTACCAGCTGCAGACCGAGCTGCAGAAGGCTCAGGCGGACAGCGAGTTCCAGAAGCGGCAATCTCTCAGGTGCGCTGAGACGCCGCAACTGCAAGACAAGGCCAGGAAACTGCAATTCCAGCTGGTGAAGGAGGAAAAACTGGACCCGGTAAGAATAATCGCTTAATCATTCAGCGGCCTTGGCTAACAGCCTTAACACATAATCGCACGTAAATGTTGAAAGACTTCATTCTCAGTTGTGTCTTCCTCTAATCTACTGTGGCTGCTTCGTCTCCGTCAGGCTCGACGGGACATCTTGGCACAGGACCTGGCCGAGGCCATTGACAGCCAGGTGGAGCTTGCAGAGCAGCTCAGGTGTTACAGAGAGGAGAACGAACAGCTGCTGGGAGAGAAGCGAGTGGTATGTCCGTTTGTTTGCGTGTGTATTTGTTTTATCCATGGATCACGGAATGTCATGCAAATACAGGGAACATCTACAGGATAATGAAAAAGTGACAGTTTAACCCGCTGCTACAAATAACTCACGACAAGCTCTAGTTAAGTAACACAAATGTGTCAGTCAAATAAACAGTTATACATGAGAAATACAATACATCACCTAATGTATTTCTACATAATACACATATTTCAATGTACATTCTATTCTGTGTCCCTAAATCATTTGAAACCTCATTTGTGTATTTTACATTCAGCTCTTGGAGCAAAAAGAGTGCCTGAGCCTCCAGGTGCAGCAGCTGACCCTGGACTGTAACATGCACCAGAAGAAGATCACTGTGATCCAGAACCAGATGAAAGAGCTGCAGGCAGAGAGAGACCAAGTAAGGAACATGTAGCCCGTCAAAGCTTCCTTTATTCCCTAAATCATGCATTCGGTTTACCAATACATTATATTTCTATGGCTTGTTTGCAACTTATCTTATTATCTTCGGTCATGCGTCTTTTTATTTCCTGTTGAAATTCAACCAGCTCTTATTGTCTGTCACTCCCGTGTGTAGGTGTGTCATTATTTTTCATCCATCATGGGACAATGGGTGCGCTGTCTTCTACTCAAATTGGATTAAACAACTTTTACACTGACCATCGACCTATTGGTTTTTCTACATTTCCCCTCTCGATGATACCATGCAGCAATGATTCATCCTAAAGTTTAAAGGCTTTCCCTCTGAGAGGAGCGGGATTAGCGACCCTCCCACATCCTAAACAACCGTCGGCCCGTCACACAGCTGCCAGCCGCTCCGCCACAGTAACCAACAACAAGGCGTTTCTTCACCTCTATGAGACGTGACAGTATTCTTGGGGACAGAAGCTTTTTACATTTATTCACTCGTCCCTTTATTCCTGATCCTTTCTTCTGAATTATAGAGTTTATTGAGTTACATTTTTATTTAACGATAGATCAAATCACATTTTACCAGTAAGCTACTGTCCTCCTCGGGGGAGCTGGGCTCTATCAGCTCCCACGGGTCGCCTCCACATCAAAAAGAGAGAATCTTCATGATTGAAGGAGATGAAAGAGACAATAAAACCTTACATTAGTTCCTGGAGTCACTGTGCTGTTCCTGTTGCTGCCTGATCCTGAACGTCGGTTTATCCCAAAACACTACGTGTCAGTTCAAACGGTCACAAACTGTGTCAACCAAAGGAAAACATTATTTGAGTTTGAGAACAGCAGCGCAGGTTTGGGTACAAACCCTTTTTCCCCCTGATTGGAGTTTTTTTTCATTAGACTAAAGGCTTTTTTCGGGCTGCCTGTTTGCAATTGTATTTAAGCTTTTGTAGCAACCATCTGGAAATGTATTAAGAACTAAAATTCCCTTTTACCAAACGATGACATTGTGGTTTCAGGTTTGTAAGATTTATTTGGCTCCATTGGCAGAAATGAGATATAATAGTCAAAACTCATCATTTAGTTAGTCGTTAGTGTATAATCACCTGAAAGACTCTTAGGGAGCTTTTCCTCTCTGCCCCGTCTGCCGCGTTGCGCCTCCATGTTCCTACATCCGCCAACAGACAAACCAAAACACTCGCTCCTTGATGGCACACAAAACATGTACGTATGTAACCCAGAACAATCTCCGCGCTTCTAGGCGTACCTGTCCAGAGACGAGGCCCAGACCATGATTGCCCGTATCCTGGCTGAGAAGGACACCCTGCGCTCTCAGCTGGTCGAGCTCCAGGAGCAGGTCTGCAGCATGCAGGCCCAACGCTGCCCCAGCAAACATCTACGGAGGAGGTCAGATTTGGTGAGAGACGCACAAGCGACATATCAGCGCACACGTGAACACAACAGGTACAGAAATAATGATGCTGTTTTGTGTTTTTGCCAAAGACTACGGAGTGGGACTGGGAGAGCCTGAGATCCAGCTTTGAAAATGGCCCAACGTCTCCACCCAGGATCTCCAACCGACGAAGACTTTGTCGCATGGATGCAGTCAATCCCCATTCCATCAGTTCCTTCACTTCAGAGGTGTGTGTGTGTGTGTAGGTCTGCACAATTGAGATCAGTTTATTCATTAGAGCTGCACAACAAGTGCTTTTGTTTTTATTCCTGTTGAAGATCAATTGCAACCACGATCAGGTCTTTTACCAAATGTAATTAATCAAGATCAAAATTAACCATAGGTGCCAATGAGCAACAAGCAGAGTGTAGAGGTTCCTCACTATAGAGCGGTCATTTGGTCTTTTGTGAGTTTGGTGAGGATAAGGACAATAGGGAATAAATCCTCCCTAATCCTTTAAAGCAAGTAACATATTACAAAAGTTGAACATATTTAGAAAGAGGAAAAATAAATAAGTATGGCATTGAAACTTTTGGTGCATATATGTACTTTTTGGTTCATATATTGTTGCCTTTATTAAACATTTTTATCAGCTTTTGACAATTAGCACCTTAATTTGACTTGGTTCAGAATAAATGTCACCTCTTCCATGTGTATCAATCTGTATGTGCAGTGTGAAGATGCAGGTAGTGTCCGATCCCGAAACGTGGAGCCCCCCTGTCCAGAGTCTCTCCGCAGAAGGGAGGAGGCTTTGTATGCAGACAGGTGTGTGTGCTCATCATATGTTTGTCTTACTCTGGTTGGGTTTTTAAATCAAGGGTTTCAGGAAGAAAAACATTCAACGTGTCATTGACTCCTAAATTCCTCCATGTTGATGTGAAGTTATCCAGCTTCGAGTGGATTATCAATTAACAGGAATGGGAGAGGCTTAACTAGCTACCAAGAAATATACATGTGATCAAAAGTAAATGATCACAACTAAATATGGAGGCAGAGGGTGTTGGGAGAAAAGTCAGAGCACAATGTGAATAGAATTTATTGTTTTTGTTACATCATTATTTTATCATTATTATTAATCCTCATTATTTTATTTCTGCTGAAGATAACTTTGTTTTTACAAAGTGCTGCCAAAACATTCAGACCTGTGATCACCAGGCTTTGATTATTCCGAATTATTCCTATTAATCAATCTACATGCACCGTCTCTGGGTCGCAGCATGGCACAACATTAGCATTTTAGGGAGCTCAAAATGCAGCACAGAATTCAGCATTATCAGTGTGCACATGGCTGCGTGAGAAAGACAGAAATCTGAGAGTGGGGTTCATGTATCTTTTGTCTTTTTTTCTTCTCTTGCAGCTCGGAAGCAGTGCAGAGTGAATTTCTATTGGAAGACTTTGTGTTTATCCCCACAGGTGCGAATACAAACTAAACAAGGTGTCTGTGCGTTTGCTGTAGTTTGGCTGGATATTTGTGTTAGCTATTGTTGAGCGTTGAACCAATGCCTGGGCTGTAAGGTGATATATTAACTCAGACACCAACACAATTCTGATGCCAAATCATTAAACAGCTTTTCTTCTGTTGGGCAGAAATTGAAGACGGGAACAAGTCCAGATTTTCCTCTTGTAAGGCCTCCTGCAGTGATGGGTGAGGAAACCTCCATTACTTAACCTTTTGTGTAGAACGGATCTACCTGATTATAATTCAGATTCGGTCAATTGAACCCCTTTAACCGGGATGCTGTCAGAGCTATAGTGCATATGCTGTATTTACTTTTTTTGTATGCTGTCTAATTCAGCACACTAGATTTAAAAACTACTGTATTAAATAAGTGAATGTAATCACCAGGATATTACCTATTGGTGTGTCAATAACAATGTAGCCCGGCCTAAAGCACACTGAGGTAATGCATCAAGTGAGGAGTAGAGGTACTTGCTCATTAACTTCATTAACTCATTAAGTTCAAGGGCAAATTCCCCAAAGAGTTACACATCACATTTACAAGCAGCATTGGTAAAAACTCCTAAAACTCCCTACAAAATCCTAAAAATAAGTGCCTAAAGCTCCACTGCATGTGATAATAAATCACATGTATTCCACATAGTGCAACACCTATTATAGACACACTTCTCATTTCCTCTTGCTGGGATTTCAAATGTCTAAAAGAAGTATGAGAACATAACAATTATGTTCCTAATTTATGATGGAATAAATTGAGAAATTAGATGAACCTAAGCCTGACACCTGCCTTTCTGCTGCTGATTTACTCTCATTTCCAAACAAATGTTTCCAAAGAGACACAAAAACAAAAAACCTCCACTCATCTGCAATAGTGTCGGTTGCCGGATCGCAACTGTTGCTGACGTGAGGAATCCGCTATCTGTGCCAACCAGAGGAATCTTTCCTTCCTTTCCTCATTCCTCTCGCAGCCTGTGCAGAACCTCGGTGCCTCCCTTCCTGATGCGCTCGCGTCAGAAAGCGATCCGGGTCAACGGCCGCGTCCTGAGCATCTCGCTCCAGGGGGAGGCGCTGCTCCAACAGCTGGCAGTGGTGGGAGGCAACAAGACAGGAGTGTTTGTGCACCAGGTGACCGAAGGCACCGCTGCCCACACCGTCGGCATCGGCCCCGGGGCGCAAATAGTGGAGGTGGGCTGAAGTGTTCCTCTACACTCATTCTGATCCTTCTGCCGACTGTGAGGGCTTCTCTCATGACGTCGTTGGTATGCAGGTGAAGTACGAGCAGAACCAGAAGGCTCTGAGAATGGTGCTGGAGGATTCCACTTTGGAGGAGGCCATGTGGGCTCTTGGCCAGGTCACGGGCCTCTGTCACCTCTCCCTCCGGCCGCGGCAAGATGGTAGGTACCACAGCGGGCACATACAACGCGTTCAGCCCCTGGTCGTCATGAGTGACTGCCGGAGTGGTACTTTGTTTAGACTACATTTCCCAAAGCTTCCCAGCACCCAAGACAAATCCATGTTATTCTCAATAATCAGAATCGGCATTATGCCAGGATGATAAAAAAAAATGTAACAATGGAAAAGTAAAAGAGCAACTACAGAATGAAGTTCTTCACTTTCAACTTTTCATTTTTCGATTTGATAATGAGCTTTTGCACACGCACGATCGTACATAAACAAGCACTGAGACGAAAGGGCTGTTTTATAACAAATCTCATAAGTGCATCTTGGGATCAACTGGAAGCAAAAATGTATCACTTCAGCTGTTATGAGGTTTTCAGGAAGTAGATCGTGTCTTTTATCAAAGAGCTGGCCAGCCGCCATATCAAGCAGCTCATGTATCGCTGACTTGTTGAAATTCTACATTGTTGAAAGTACACAAAATGTGTTACTGATAACAAATTAAATTAAATTAAAGTACAAATTGTTTTTTGTTATTATTATTATGTTATTATTCATTTTTTTCTCTGATTTGCCCTCTGGGTTAAAGACAAGGTTTGCTACCAAGGAACGTATAAAGTAAGGACGTCTCACTGAGTGTTGTATTCTTCATCAATCTGATTGTGTAGTTAGAATTATAATTAAATCTTTGCTATCAAAAACTAACCAACTATCAAATTGTCACCGATGTTTAATATTACTCAGCTCTCTCAATAATGTGTCCTCTTGTTGGTCAGGAGATGCCGATGAATACATAATGATCCGGTTCCTTGGTTTCCACTGTACGGTTACTGCTGCCATATTATGGAGCACTGAAGTGTCTTATATGATGCATCAAAATCAATATTGACATTTACACGGCCTAGATTCTGAAAAAAACACACCCCTCGTTTTTAGTATACAGAAAAATAATAATAATAATAATAATATCACTACATTTAAAGTGATAGTTACCATCCAGTGAAGTCTTCATATTACATAACAGGTCAATGCTGTATACAATATGCAGCGGCTTTAGTCGTGTTGCTTCCTCTCAGACTACGAGGCGCTGCTGCAGCAGCTGCGGAGCAACGAGACGTCCTCTGGAGACTCCTTCTACGTACGGGTCAACTTGTCTCTCCCTGCTGGGCCCAACTGGACCCTGGCTGTGTCCTGCAACGACATCCTTCATGTGACCAACACGCGACCCGCTGGCACCAAGGACTCCTGGTACGCCAGCCAGGTTCACCCCTGTCAGCTACTGGACCTCCAGAGCGGCAGCTTACCCAACTATTACAGGTCGGTACGCTGATGTGCAATACAGCACTGAGGGGTTTGAGTTACCGGGTTAGATCCCTTTCTCGTCTGTCAACATTTAGAGAATTCAGAATACTTAAGTTGTAATGATCTTCTGTCGGCACAGGGCACAGCGACTTCTGATTAGAGCCATTGAAGACATGACTTTTCAAACAAAGAGCTCTCAAAAGGTAAGGAAAAGGTTAAACACTGAAAGCCAGCCTTGTGCAAAAAGTCCTCATGCTTACCTTTGGGAATATTCCTCTCACTCACCAGGTTGCGCGTTTCGGGGCGGGGAATAAGCAGAAGGTTGTGAGGATTGTCGGCACCGGGCGCCAGGGCAGGAAGCCACTTTGGGTCAGTGTGGAGGGAGAAAACAGCGTGCAGAGTCCAGAATCAGGTACAGGAGCCTCCAGGAGCTGCCAACACACAATAACACAAGATCTTGCTGAATTGCTTCTTGAATATTCTGTCTGCTGTGCAATTGTTTTAATGTTTTAAATTGAGAAATGCAATATTTTCCTTCATATCCTTTCATATGAAGGTGATACTTCTGCACCCAGGAGTTGTCTGACCCTCATGCCCTACAGCCTGGTCACGCCACACTTCCCACCCGTCTGCAGGCCGGTCCTGCTGCTGCCCACCATCCTGGGACACATCCTGAGCAAGAAGATGGCAGACTGGCAGGGCTTCCGGCTCTGTGAGCCTGGTAAGAGATCCGGTGTTGTCATGTTGTTGTACATATGCAGAAACCTGCATGTTCATGCTACACTCTTGTTGTTGGAGATTGAAGGTACAGAGGAGCGAGGCTCCTCCCGGAGCCGACAGATGGCACGTTCTGTCTGTCTCCAATAACCAGGAAGGAATTAAACGGTGCGAATAAATTGTAATAAGAATGACAGAGGCTATGGAGACAGTAAACGTTTGCCACTGTTCCCTGCAATGAAGAGGTGATCATTGTGGGAAGGTTTGAATCATTACAAGACACCATTCAGATATTTTACAGTATGAATTAAAGGTAATGTCTCTAATAAAGGTAAAGATGTCATGTCACTTCATGCCTTACCTTTTGTCTCTGCTTTACAGAGGTGCTGAGCTCCAGCGAGCATGCAGCCCGGCTGCAGAGGTCCGAGATCCTGGAGGAGTGCGATGAGGGACGAAGCTGCTGCTACACCCTGCAGAGTGTCGAGAAAGTCATGAAGACGGTCAGAACATTCAACACACAAAAGAGATGTTGTACTTGGGATGGTTTCATGGGACTCTGCTCCCTGAAAAGTGGAGAATAGGGTTTGACGAGGAGTTCAGTCTTCGTCGCCGGTTTAGTCCAGGCTTTAATCCATCGACAAAAATGAAAAAGGGGCGAATCCCGTTAGCATTTAGTGGACAGAGCGCAGACCACGTTGTCCACTGAGTCCATGTGAGTGAAAAAGTAAAGACCAGGATTTTCATCTCCACGCGTTATGCATTCGAACATATTCCACATAACAACACTACCGTTGAATCATGCTCATTTGAAAATGCTCTTTTGTCAACACCCTGTTGCATGTGCTCCCCCCCCCTGCAGGGGACTCACTGTGTGCTGCCGTTGGGGCTGGACTGTGTGCGTCGGCTGCACCGCGCCGATATCTTCCCCATCATCATCTTCATCGGCCAGTCGGCACGTAGTGCAAAGAAACTGAAGTAAACCACCCTTGGTTCTTTTCTTCTTATTATTCCTGGTCAAATGCTGAGAAAGCTCACCTCATATCACATTCAGATAATGACTAGAAGCACGTGTCCTTTGTTGAAGTAATGGGCTCGGGCTCCTGGAAATACTGGTATTTCTTCTCTTCTATTAGGAATTCTCATTCTTGGAAACTATGTTGAAAAAACGAAAACCGGTTCCATCTGATTCACAGCGAGTGACATCATGAACCTGAACGATAAATGTTGTTGTTTTGGAGAAGAATTTAACAAAATTCCAGCTGGAAAGACAAATATTGACATGTCACATTGGCCACATACTGGCCACCAAACGATAAATGGACGTCCCATCTTTATGTGTTTATTATGTGATATCTCATCTCTATGACGGTCAGGTCCAAGCTGCAGCGTCACAGCCAGTCGGAGGAGCAGCTGTTGGCGTGTTCGAGGAGCGAGGAGCCGCTGCTGGACAAGCTGCCCTGCCTGTATCACAGCGTGGCGCAGGACTCCTGGTGTGACCAGAACTCGCTGCTGACCCACCTGCGCACCATCATTTGGGAGGAGCAGAAGAAGATCGTCTGGGCGGAGCCTGACCTGTGGTAAAACAGAGGAGAGATTAAAATAAATGGAAAGTGCTGAAAGACCTTTTTCATAACATGACCTTGAGAATAGATTCAGCTTACAATTCATATTTTTGTAAACATGCGTTTATGCGTGTATGTGTATGCGTTTATGCGTGTATGTATCTATGATACTTATAAGGAACTGGGTGACGGGAGTCTCAGAAAGTGCTATGTATTGTACTTTCAAAGTGTATGGCGCTGTGGCACTATTTACTTTAACCTAACATGAAAACATGTTCTTCTCTTTGTTGCCTCACTTTTTGAGGCCTTTGTTTAAGGCGAACGCCAGCTTGAGGTGTCCCCTAAAAACACAAGCATATATGGGTTCAAACCACAATTTATTGTAGATCATTTCCCAATATGAGGGACCTCCGGATCTGTCATCTCGAGTGCTTAATCGGAATGTTTTGGTTTTGTTTTGTTTGTCAGTTAAGGGATTAGATATTTTTTGCGTGCATGGGGTTAATGAAAGAGTTTGTGCTCATAATGTCCTTCATTGTGCCGCCAAATATTCGGTCTGTCTTTATTGTCGACTTTTAATAAACTGTGCTAACCCTCTGAATTTCTGTAGATGATTTGTTAGCAGATTATGTAACAATTGTGTGTCTCATTGTATTGGATTTATCTTCATTCAAGTGGGACATCCACTTGATATTTCTAGTTCTTATTTTAAGGTGAACTTAGTGGAGTAAAGTCTTTGGGGTTTATAATAAAAACAGTACAAACTACAATGAAGATGTAGTTACTATCAAATGTAGCCAAAGGTGACCGGTCCCATCACTGTGTATAAGGCCATTTGTATTCTGTCTATACCGGGGTTTGGTTTGTCCTTTCACAACATTATTATGTTATCACGCAAAAACACGGTGACGCTCTCGGGGGGTTTCTCCCGCCCACAGCAGCACCTGGAGCTTCGTGGCCCAAGAAATAGCGACGGATAAAAGGTACGTCAGTGGCTGCGGCTGCCAGCCTACGTCGTGTGTTTGTTTTGTAAACCGGCTGGACGTGTTTCAAGTGGCTTTGTAATAAAAGAAACAAATGAACAGTGTAAGATGACAATAACCGGGTGCACGTGAAACCTCCGTTCAGCCCACAGCTCTACGGGTAATTGACATTTCATCCTCAGGCCTCAGCAAACACATCTGCAATGCAATGCGATGCAATTCTTGTGCACACAAACTAGATTCCTAAAAGTCTGCCAGTGATAAATAGCAACAGCGAGTCTTTACTAAACAAATAGACCCTGTGACTCGTGGAGTACATCATTGGTCTTTGTAGATTTGTTATGGTTCAGTTTACTGGTTGGGAATCATTTAACGGCTGTTGGAGCTGCTGTGGCCCTCAGTGACCACAGGGGCGAGCCAGAGAGAAACGAATGAGCTTTGGTTGGGAGGAAAACATGGTTCCCACTAGGAGAGTGAAGAGCAGGGTGGGAGGAGAGGGGACTCTTAAACATAAAGCACCACTGTCTTTAATCACACCGTCGTGCTGGTTTTTAGGGGGGCTTTTTTTTACCAGCTTTTTATTTAAATGCCTGTGTGTACTGGCCAGCAGAGTGAAAGGATAATCAATACTACCCCCCAACCTCCCACACGCTGTCTTCCCCTTTTTATCTGGTGGTAATTATTGACTGGATTCGAAGGATTTTCTTCTTTTGTCTTTTTTTTTAAGCATCCACTGAATCCATTTCCTCTCCTGGAAGACTTTCGGGTTCCAAAACCGCAAATCCTCCCTCCTGTTGCTGGGAAACCAGTGATGGGTGTGTTGTCAGAGCACATTACAGACGCTGACTGAGAGGGAGAAACCGCGGCGAGAGAGCGGAGGAATGAAGGGGTGATGGTTAAAGAATAAAAATTACAACATGCACATCAACTGTGGTTCTCTTTTGTTTCCTTGTACTGTCTCACTCAAACAGTTGCACGCAGACACACACACACACACACACACACACACACGAATGCAGACAGCCCTCTGGGGCTCGATTAACATGCTTTGATTCCCCTGTCTCTCGTTCTCTCTCCCTCCTTGCTGGCATTTTGACTGGGTTGAGTTTCAGATTTTTTGGGATGAAAGGAATGAAGAATGTGTTCTGGAGAATATTTGATGTTTAATTGATGGAGGTTGGATGTCTGAGTAGAAGAGTGTTATTTGCAATTACCCTAAATCTGTGTGTGTGTGTGTGTGTGTGTGTGTGTGTGTGTGTGTGTGTGTGTGTTTTTCTTCGTTGGAAGTGTGAATAATTTCTTTCTACGGTCAGAAGCGCATTTTGCTGCCAAGTTCCTCCCTGATGTGAGAGTAAAACTGTCACATTAATTAAAAACAACAGAGCTCTACAGTGTAGTACTTGGGGGATATTGAAAATGTAAATGTACATTTTGTAATGTGAATACAGTTTTCTTCTAGAATTGTACATTTACAGTATTATAAATAAAAGATGCTTCTTCCCTAAGTAACTATCCGTGCTGGGTGATGCTAATCCATTTGTACCAATGACGGCTGAATATTAGAAACACCTCTAAAAATAACAGAACCCAGTTCCACACCAGTTACACTCCTTACAACCTTTTCATCAGAAATGGAACATGTTACCCGTAATAAGCCTGCAATAGAGTTAATGTGCTGCGATTATACGGTGGAAGTAATTGGAATTAAAAACACACCAGAAAGTCAAGCTACGCAGGTGTTTTCACTTATTGAGCCTAATTCGGTGCAGACTAAGCGGGAGAGACATGTCCCGGGCTTTGCTCCTGTCCCTCCATATTTCTCCCTCATTCCCACAACAAACAGTGTCTATGACTTAATAAGTTAATAATCACAAGGTACAAGGTCATATATCGTCACGTTCTGATCCCCATCTAGGGTAAGAAACATTTTATTTTTATTATGCTCTGTTTTGGTCAAATATCTGTCTCTTTACTTTCCCCTTTACTTTGTCCATTTATCGTTGTAAGTTACAGAGTTTTCTATGAGATGTGTCATTGAAAGCACTGTTGATGACTGAGGGGTCATAAGCTGATTCAAAACAGTTGTATTATTTTACGTTTTTTTGTCCACTAACAGACACACTTCAACACAAAATAACTTCCTATTCATTCAAAGTCAATTCAAAGTATGAATCAGTGCAGTTTCGTTGAAAAAAGGCCAATGGCAGCTGATATTTAATGTTGATTTTATATCTTCTAACTTGGTGGTCACCAACATAAATTGTATCAAACTCAAATTTTGCAGTTGATGTTGTTGAGGACGATTGAAACATAAATGTATTTTTCTCTCTCGTTGACCCTCTGATGACCCAACAGAACACACCGCAGAACAGAAGCTGCAAACCCACGTGTGAGTCTGTCCAGTCATGTGTCTCCCACACACACACACACACACTCAGAGTCTCTACCTTGAGGGCAGTGCTTTCTCTGTGTGTACCAGCATGGATTCAAGTTCTCACGGGAACTTGTCTAAGTCAACAGCTTGACGGGTCCTTCGGCTCGCCTGCAGAATCTACAGCCATCGACCCATGCGGGCGCAGCCTGTCCTCTCTCTGCATATATGAGAATAATATGATACATGATCGCAAAGTCAAATGGGATAAATCAAGAATAAATAACTGACTTCAAAACGTGATTTGAATCCAGTGTAAATCGTCCCAAGCCTCACGATTCGATTATAATTTAACGGTCAAAGATTTGAATGTCCATTGAATGTCTATTCTTTGGGCATCTCAGTACAATGTATTATATCTTCCATCTTTAATATAAAATTAATCAAACAGTCTCACATAATATACAGTTCCATCTGACATACCAGTGTGTGTCTGTGTGACTCACCTCAGCACATTAACATTACAAAATGAAAACGTCAACCCTTCTGCAGGGCGTTACATGTAATCTACAGAAATGAGGTTTTCCTGAGTCACATCTCGAGTGCCTGTGTTATTTTACACCAAATGCATTAGCCAAGAAGCTAGCAGACTCCCAACTCATATTCTCACTTCATCACTCGACAGAACCAATACCGCGGTACAAATTCAGCCCACACGCACATTCTTTCAGCCAGCGTTGATGAAACCGAGCAGCTAATACTGGAACGAGAGAAGCAAGTAATTGGAGTGCAGATCCTGTGAACAACGAACACTGTAGCCAGTGTGTTAGGAACACAGTCTCATGCATGTTTAACAGGAATACGTCTCAATGACTGTGGTGGCGTCAAAACAAGTCGAGTGAAAAGCATAAACATGCTGCATACGTCAGGGCCTTTGGGATATAAAGTGATTATTGTATCATTTCTGTAGCAGAATAAAATCAAAGCAAGGGTTGCAGATTTTCAAAAAAACAAAATATGAAACAGACACAATTTGCCTTGAAAATGTGAAGAAACTACTGTGAAAAATATATATTTAATAGCATTAAAATGAGTTGTGAAAGTTCAGCATGAGGTTGTCAAGGTTTACAGTGGAGGCTGGAACAGCAGACGTTCAGCATCTTTTGAAAATATGATGGAAATTATACACAAGAACTTCTACCTCTGACCCTTGTTGACCTTTTCATAAATGTCCACATAAACGCCCGGGTACACGCCCTCAGTCCTTCCTCCCATCCTGTGGCTGACAGTGAGCGCTGAGGCCGGCCGGGGGGCAGTGAGTGGAGCCATTGTTCCCAGAGGTCAGAGAGAGTCGGAGAAACTCAATGCCAAGGGTCAGCGTCACTGCGGTGATAATGGCCAGCGCTCTCCGACAAACACAGTTTAGAGAGAGGAGGTGCAGAAAGGATTTGTGAAAAGGGTTTAAAATAATGTGTGTAGGAGTGAAATATTATAATGGAGAAGAAATGCGTCATCTGCTTCTGCAGCACACATGCGGGATGTAAAAATGTCTGTGTTTGACTGCGAAATGTTGTTTTTGATTGGATTAAATCCAAACAGATGTATTGGCCGCATGGTTTGTGTGTGGTTTGTACAATGTGTCAGCGCGTGGATGAGTGTGTCTTTGTTGGCGAGCACACGCAAGCTGTGGTAGTTCCACAAACACCTGGATTGAATTGAGCTCTGTGATGCAGACAAAGCTGTTGCGAGTTCTTCAGGAAAAGGGATTTTTCATAAACAGGGGACACAGTGTCCCGTTCAATAAACACGTCTTATAGGTTACTGCACCTCCGCCGAAGCGCTGATGTGTTGGTCTTGAGCTGCGTCCATAAACGTGACCTCGGCTGGAAAAACCGCCATCTATCAGCTGACCTGCTGTCTTCCAGCCAGCGCACAATCAATACCCTCTGATCATGATGTCATTTACTCACAGTAAACCTCATATGATGACGAGACTTCTCCTCCTGCTATCATTACCTCATTACCTCATTTCACGGGTTTGTCTCAAAGCAGGAATCAACTGCTACACAAAGCCTCTCATGAACTGGAGGAACCTTTCTGACAAAGACACGCGTGTGTGTGGCAGATCGAATCCCTTTATTGATCAGTGTTGATGAATTCATTGATGTAATATCAGTCAAATATCTCTGGCGATGGGGATTACTCGATTATTCTATTTAATGTTTGTAAACTATATACATTATATGCTGGGAT